TTATTAATGTACATATTTATAATCGCTAACAATTATTTTCGTTATACTAACATTTTAGGGCCAGTGACACTGAGACTACTGCAAGAACACGATTGATCATTGTTATATATCACTTGCTAATTATAAGTTATGTAAAGCATCTGTCTAATACTTCTTTTTTTTTTATTTGTTTCTAGAATATGTTTTCCACTTCTAATAGGGGGAAAATGTATTGATGATCAAAATATTTTTAATAATTGAAACGAGTTAACGTACTTGAGTTAACTACAATCATCGAGTCGAAGTTTGGGTAGTTTAGTTTGAGGGGATTCTTGAGAAAAGTATTAAAATTGAAATATATTTAAACAAAAAAATGAATGAAGTATTTTTAACTACAATCGTCAAAAGTATTTTTTGCCTTTTCCAAATAGTTTTGTATAATACTCCTAATATTCCTATCATAATTAGACAAATCTGACAGGAAGGCTATGACTACACATCGTTGAGGTGAAATGACATCACTATTAATAATATGCAACTATTAATGTCATTTTCACCAAAAAGCATTACTACTATTTCATTTTTGAATAAATTGTACATGAACCACAAAAGAAAATCAAAATAATAAAAGTATTGACCAAAAAGTTACCTCCTCTCCATGTACTATATATTCTCCCCCTACAATATGATTAGACACTTATTTTACCACGAATAAAATTCAATATCAAGAGAAAAAAATAACAAGGATTAATTAAAGAACATGAACAAACATGCATGTCCTATAAAAATCACAAACAAAATCATGTGCTTAAAAGTGAAAATTGTTGTTACTTTAAGGATTGTAACAAAATCACACATGTCAATTTTTTTATTTTAGTAATATTATTATATTCTATAACGATAAAAATAAAAAAAGGACGCAGAGACATTTACACATGAAGAAAAGTGTACGAGAGCGATAGAATTGGATTTTCTATCTATCTATATTTATATATTTGTTTGACAATGATTGAAGACCCCCTCTTATAATTATTATTATTATATTATATAGTACCATAATAATAATAGTAATAAGAAGCTCCGGAGGATAGTATGTATACTTTAGTAAAAATTTCCTATTTTATGATAAAAAGAAACACATGCAAAGGGTTGATTGTTCCATAACTTTTTCGAAACCATACAACTTCAAAGACCCCATCTGCTCCCAATCATGAAATTTATGTATTAATTAGTAGGTACGTACTAAATACAAATACAACTAAATTCCCTTTATTTTTTGTTGAAATGGACAAAAGATGATTGAACAACTTTCATTTTTTTTAAATATAATCTATGATAACAATGATTACGGTTCTATATCATAGGAGACACGCACGGAGAATGAGAACGAAGAATTGCTTTTTTGTTTTGTTAATTTTAACTTGATTTGTATTTGGAACATGAAAAAAATGATATCCAATTTAAAACTAAACACTTTTTTCTATTTTTTCATTTAGATATGATTGACAGGTGCATAACAAATGAAAAGAAAACCTAATTGTGTTATTAGGTCATGCGAAAGATATCGAAGAGCGATTTTATTAAAGAGTGAAAAGTGTAATTTAGAATAGTATGAATTAATTATTTGATACAAACGATCAAGATATGATGTGGTATTATAAATTTTTTTTTATTTCTTTCTTTTTATACTAATGATGTATATTTGGAGTTGTCAGCCATGGTTCAGGAGGCTTGTTAGGCTAACCCTTGAGGCCAAACCTGATATTTTATCTATTAAATTTATTGATTTTAAAGAAAAAATAATCACAATAATAAAACAATGAGAAAAAATTAAAAAGGTTTTCTATATTCTCCATCATTGCCCTCTAAAGTAGATAGGACACTGGTGTTTCGAATCAAGTCATGTCTTCATTGAGATAAGTTGACATGGTATTATTCACGATTCCTATCTTCCAACCTCTTCTATGTTCTAGCTTGAGCAATTTTACTTTTTTTTGTTGATGTTTTACCATACAATAATTATGTGATTGGAATATCTTTCCATAATATACTAAAAAAAAACACTATAAAAATAAGGGAAAAGGCTCAAATATGTCATTGAAAAAAACAAGGGAAAGGCTCAAATATGTCATTGAACTTTCAAAAAAGGCTCATTTGTGTCATCCATTAAAAGTTTGACTCATCTATATCATTACTGTTAAAGAAAAAGTTCATTCATGCCATTATTTTTTAACAATGATTTTGCAAAATCATTTTTGATACGTGACTAATTATAATTCTGTCACATCATCAATTTTTTTAATAATTTTTTTTGATAAAAATTAATTCAATTTTTATTCAGAATTTTGATTTTTTATTTAAAAAATCAAAAAAAAATCATTCAAATTCTGAATAAAAATTGAATTGATTTTTATTTTAAAAAATGTTATTTTAAAAATTGATGACTGGCCAAATTACAATTGGCCACATGTCAAAATATAGTTTTGCAAGACCATTGTTAAAAAATAATGGCATGAATGAGTCATTTCTTGAACGGTAATGACATAGATGAGCAAAACTTTTAACAGATGGCATAAATTAGTCTTTTCTGAAAGTTCAATGACATATTTGAGCCTTTCCCCTTAAAATAATGTGAATTATATGGAGATTGGCCTGGGAATTAGTATGAAAATTTGCAGGAAACTTATTTTCCTCAAATTTTCATACTAATTTTCAGAAAAATTTCCATGTAATTCACGATTTTCTTGTAGTGTAAATTTAAAAGCATTAATTGCTATAAGTATTTTTTAATATTATTGTCCAATTCTTTTGCTTAATAAGATATAGTGCTAACTTCTATATTATATATAAAAAAAATTGCAAGGAAAACTACATACTATATGCTACATTTTTCATATAAACAAGTCTTTGATTTAAACTGGAACTTGAGAGAAACTAAGGAGAAGGGCAAATACGTCATTTTGCTATTTTATACCGAGAAGGGTACATAGACTGTGTGATAAAAATAATATCATAATTGTGATGTAACTGATCTCTACATTGCTAATTAAAAATTAATTAAACGTGAGACAGAATATTTACACACATTTATCATGGGATTATAATGTGGAAAAAATACAGCTGGCCTACACAACTATTTACATCCACATAGTAATATTTTAAAGTTTGCACAATTAACTTTTTTCCTCAACAGTGTCGTATATACCTATTTATAAATTTAAATAATATAATAACAGTATGCACCTTAAAAGCATATAAATATATCTACATTATATAAGAGTATACGATCATGTATAAAATCTTGAATAAATGTGTATAACATGTTTGCTAGCTATAAAAGCGAACTTTTATATGCTATTCTTGTTCGAATTCGGTACAAGGCTCCATAAAATGGCTTTGATTTTCTGCGAGTCTTAATCACACAACAACAAATACTTAATTTTGCGGCTATAATTTAGTGATAATAATATTATTATCATTATAATTAAATATCTAGCAATAATAATAAATAAGGTATTATCAATTAACACTATATATAAATATCTTTTTTGTCGCCGTGGACCGTGACAATACCATCCATAATCCATTTCAAATTCTCTAACAAAAAATATATTTAAAATTCAGGGTGACTTCTTCAATTAAACTTGTTCAATAATAAGGTGAGGTTTTCAAATATGATTTTCACCACCCATTTGTAATCTAAGCACGATTTGAGATCCAAACAACTACAACTTTGGGTATAATAAGGTTGAACAATTAGCGATTAAGAAAAAACATAACCCATTTTTGGCAATAAGCTTGAAGCAAGAGTGATTTGGAATTTAAAGTCTCTATTATAAATTGTCCTAACCAAACAATTCCTTAGTACAAGTATTTTAACCTCTTATCGCAGCTATACTGACATTTTTTTACTTTTTAAGTTGTTAGTTTCACCTTTTATGCACAGTAACATACAGTTATTTCTGACCTAATTATACATTTTTAGAAAATACTATTAATTGAACTCTTTTTGACAAAAGTGGATGTTTGTAGCGCAACATACAAAATTAGCCTAGTTACGCTAATTAAAGAACATTACAATTTTATTTACTTAGTTCAATATTTAACGGTTCTAGGATCTAGGAGAGGTTAGAATCTTAAGAGAGGATTTTTTAAGATAATTTTTTTAAAAAAGTATTTTAGGTTTACTGTTGAGGAAGATGTATAAAATTAGGGTTTGGTTGATGGTAAATTGAATGAACTCTGACGGAACCACACTACTAAAAAGAAACAGTGATAAAATTGTCGGTTTGCTTAGGATGACAGACAAAAGTACGAGTACCTATCCACAATTTATTCACACACTCCAAAATATAAAAAGCTCACCGCCTTAAAACTTAAAACGTATACACCTATACCTACTGCTGCCCTTTTAACCCTTCCCACCCCTGAATTTTCCTTTCCTTTTATATGATATATTAAAATTAAAATTTAACTAGTAGTTGATATTTAGAATTTATAAAAAATATTATTTAAATATAAAAAATAATTTATATTTAAATATCTTGTATCCCCAAGCTTTTGTTATAAATATGTTATTAAGAAAATTATTATGTTACATAAATTGAGACGAAAGGAATAATATTGAAATATTTTGTATCCCCGAGCTTTTGTTGGTTCCATCAAATTAATATCTTGTGTTTGTCCATAAATGTTTTGCCTTAGGCTCTTCATCAGTGGCCACTGCCAATTTTTATGATTTCCATCACTTTCCATGCCTAAAAGTGGATGAGGGCTAAAATTAATTTTTTTTCCAGTACTACACATTTTCTAAGGATTGATCTTAGTAGATGTTGATATGTGAACATAAATGTGACGTTCTTTAAAAGATAGAAAAATAGAAACACAAGTACAAAAAAAGAAAAAAGAGTAGTCTCAGCCATTCAAATTATTTCCTTCATCGCTTTCTTTCTAACAGTATAGACTCCCATCAAGCTTGTGAAAGGCCAATATAATGCTGTAGTGTGTACTACTAGTTACTCGTATTTAGTTGAGCTGTAAACTTGTTCTTCAACAATAAATAAAAGAAAAAAATGTTCCCTTTTGGAAACAGTAGTAATGGTGGGAACCCTATTCTTCACTCCTCTTTTCTTAACAACCAAATACTTCTTCATCAACATGACCTTCCTACTCATCATCATTACTTAGCAGCCGCAAATGGTCACTCAATCGACTCGTATGCAACTAACAATGTCGCCATCAACAACAAGAGTAAAAAACAAGTGAAAAAGGATCGGCACACTAAGATTTTGACATCACAAGGGCATAGGGATCGGAGGGTGAGGTTGTCGATAGGGGTTGCTCGTAAGTTCTTTGATTTGCAAGACATGCTTGGTTACGATAAACCAAGTAAAACCCTTGATTGGCTATTCACCAAGTCTAAATTAGCCATTGAAGATCTCATCAACGATGTGTCAAAGAAGAGTACTCCTTTATCTATTCATAATAATAATAATAATAACAATTCGGAATGTGATGAGGATATGATTGTTCCTCTTGCAAAAAAAGCAAAGCAAGAGAGAGACTCAAGGGCAAAGGCTAGAGCAAGAGCTAGAGAAAGAACTATTAAGAAAATTTGGACCCAAATTGCTCCGAATAGAGAAGCTACAGCTTCACATTACAATAATTCGACACGAAATTGGAATCATGACGATGTTAATCCAACAATCATGAGTTCCATGGATGCATCTACCATTTGTTGTACCTCATTACCGATAGGTAAAAAACTAAAATACTACTTATAAATTCCACAATTTAATTGACATTCAGATATTTATATTTTTTCCCCATTAATTTGCAGTTCAGAAAGCATGGGATTCATACCACGGAAGCCAAATCTGAAGGGAACAGCGTAAGCTAGCTAATTAAGCATTCCTGTTTAATTTTCTAGGTTTGGTACAACTATAAAAGTGCCCTTTATGTGTTTTTGTTTTTCCAATTTCTCTCCAAGTCTTTGTGTACTTACTTGTAAACTTTGTTTTTGTAACTCAACTTTATATCTATGCATCAACCAGTACACCAAAAGTTTTACAAGTTTTTAATGGGCTGTATAATTACAAGCAAAATAATAACTGGTTGAAGTTAAAAAACAACCAGAGAGAACATTACCTGGAATTCGATCTGGGGAATCAACAGGTAGTCAGTCCATTGAACTGAAATCAATTCGAAGTCTAATTTTCTCCTAAGTTGGATTTTGAAGAGGTATGAAAAAGGATGGTTGATGTAGTCCATCCTTAATCATTTACTTTTTTTGGAATTTAGTTAGATCCAAGAGTTATTTTTTTTACTTGGTATCAAAATATGACTCATCCCAGTTAATGTTTACCGATGATGGGCCCAAGATTAAATTGTCCATCCACCAGGTGTACAATCTTGGGCATAGGGTGAGTGTTGAAGAGTCCTTATTTGGGATAAAAGAAAAAGGATAGGTGGTCTATTTATATGGACTTGAGCATTGTATCAAAGCTAATACCTATTCCAGTTAATGTTTACCAATGATGGCCCCCCTAGATTAAGTTGTTCACGCACCAAATGTCTAGCCTAGGTGTGAATGAAGAGTCCCGTGGGATTAAAAAAAGGATGGATGGTCTCCTTATATGAACTAGATTTTGGGCACAAATCCATGGTGAGACTCCCTAACTCAGATACATCACTTGTAAGTTTTCTTTATTCCAAAGACATAGGGTAAAAATTATGTTTAACTTCAGCTTAATAGAAATCATTTTAGGTGGAGGTCCAGTAATTTTCCATCTTGACAAAGAAAATATAATAAACCATAATTTAAGTATAAAACCCAGCTTAAGTAAAATTTTAAGCTGAGTGATAACTTAACCCTGGAAGAACTGGTGCAATCATTTAGTCACAATGTTCTCTCTGATAATTAAGTTCAACAATTGCTTACAGCATACTAACCCTAGCTATTGTAATTCATAATTTTAATCAACTTAGCTCAACTGATCAAGATTGGATATTAATTCAATCTATTATACTCCAATCTGATATCTAACCTAGCTAGAATGCATATTTTGTCTGCTCAAAGTTTCAATTAGTCATAAGAAACATGTTAGTAACATTCTGTTGTTGTGATTGATCAAGTTACAGAACAATTTTTATCCCTTTATTTTTCTGTAAGTTGGCCTTTTTCTGATTTTCTTTAGATGCGTATGGATAGTAGGGTTGATTTATAGTCCAAATTAAGAGCTTATTTAAGTTGTAGTGAGAGCTAGCTCATAGAAATTTTATCGTTCTGCGTTGAAAGTTATGAGTTCAACTAAACCGTCACCAACAATAGTACAATTTTCATTAGATGTATAGTTTTAAGAACCTGGAACTCTGCTGCACCAGCAGAACCAGATAGAGATTATTTAAAAATTAAAGATGCCAAGGTTCATACTTTTTCTGTTTCAAGTTAACTGTTCTTCTTTCTGTGTTTATTTATCCCAATTTTGTTCACTTTTCTCAAAAAAACTTTCTCCATTTTTCTTATATATAGTACTATTAAAGTAATACTTCTTCATATTCTTTGGTCACGCAATCTCTACAAGCAACCTATTTCATACCCTTTTCGTCCTACTTCCTCTTCTCCTTCTCTTCTTTCTATACCCGCAGAGCGTTTTTTCACTATAATACTACTATCAAAAAGTATTCTTCGACATACATACACTTATGGTTTAAAAATGATCAAACAACTAAAAATTTTAACTTTCTCCATTCTTTGTGCCATTTCCATTGCATGATCAATTTAAAATATTTAATAATGTAACTAAAATTTTAACCTTTTATACTAGGTGATTGAATTTTATTTTTTTCTATTCTTTTTAGGATAAGGATCTAACTTCTATATATTGATGGTGCAAAAGGGTACCTTCATTTTTTGAGGCCTACATTTCATCAATAGTTTTTTTTTTGTGACCTAACAATCTTGCATTGGTTTCTCTATACTTTTAATGGTTCTTTCTAAGTCATTAGTATACTTCAATATTTCTTGTTGTTTCTATAAGAGATTGTTTGACTAAATTGTTCTTAAAGACGAAATACACTGCTACAGTGTAGAAAAGTATATTGAACCATCAAACAAGTATTTCAAAAAGCATATTCAACAATCAACCATCAAACCACTACACTCAAATCAAATTATCTACTTACTAAAATTAGGTTTTATTTTTTCATTCTTTTAAGTAGGTAGGGGTGTACATGACCGGGTTGGTTCGGATTTTTCAGATATCAAACCAAACCATTTGTATCGGGCGTTTAAATTTATTAACCAAACCAAACCTATAATACTCGGGTTTTTCAATTTCAGGTTCTTTCGATAAAGTATTCATACAAACATATAATTTACTTATACTTCAAATATTTCTTTAATCCTACCAAAATGCAATTATCTAAGTTATTTCTCAAGAAAATAACAAAAAAATATGATATGATTAATGACACTAAAATATCCAACAAAAAAATTATAATAAAATTGCGTAAAACAAATGTTGTCAATCAATAAGTCATAGTGAAATTGATCATAATTTAAGTACAAAATAATGCTAAAATAAGTTTAGTAAGTATTAGTTACATGACTAAATATTAAAACAAAGTAAAATTTGATCATGTATTATAATTGTTTAAATCTATCTAAAACTAAAAAACAAATATTCAATATTATTGTCATTCTTAGTGTTGAATTGATTTTCTTGTAGCATTAGTATTTATTAGATTTTTATTTAAACTTTATTATAATTACCAACATGTATGAACTATAATCTTTATTAGATCATTAAGAATTTTAACTTCCAAACATGAAATAAATATATTAAAATTAAAACTATGAAAAAGTATAAAGGATACTTAAAAAGTATATCAAAGTAAGTATTTCTACATATAAAATAAAATTTTAAAATTATATATATAATGTCGGGTTGGTTTGGTCTCGGGTTGATTTTTTTTAGTTGAAATTAAACCAATCCAAATATAGTCGGATTTATTTTTCCAACACCAAACCAAGTCAAATCAAACCATTAGTCGAATTTTTTTCCCGATTTGACTCGATTTGTGGTTCAATTTTGTATATCCCTACTTTTTAAGTATTGTTTTCGTCTATGTTGTTAGGCTAGTTATTTACTATGTATATATTCATTTGTTATCTTTTAAATTATTTATTAGAATAAAAAATATGTCAATAATTAGAAAATATGAATCCGATTATTCTGAAAAGAAAAAGAAACATGAGTCTTTATTTTACGAAAGAAAGATGCTCTTAGATCATTAAAAAGTAAACTTCAAGTGAATTATATCTATATCTATATATATATATATGAATGTTCTTTTACAACAAATAATAATTAAAGCGTCTCACTGGAACGCGACTTCAGTTCCTCAAAAGTATTAAATCGCCCTACTTTTACATGCACTAAGGGGTTGTTTTGTTGCTATTCGGAAGTATCCACCGTAAAGTTTTTCATGTACACTCTTTGTTTTCTTTTATTCGTTTACTAATGTAAGGACTTGTTTGATTCCAAGAAAATTTGAGAAAAAACTTGAAAAATGGTGTTTGGCTATATAACTTGGCAAATTTATTTATCTAAGAATCTTAAGTTCCAAAATACTAGGAAAAAAATAGTATTTTGGCCAAGTTCTAACATTTGAATTTTTTTAAAAAAATTCAAAAATTACCCCTAACTTTATATTTTATAACAAAATGTTTGTCATTTATTAATTCAAATTAATATTTCTTATGTTACCTCCTTAAAAAAATAGGAGTTCTAATTTGAGTGATAAGATTGAAAAATAAGAACTATTTGTTTTAAATGGGTTATAATTTTAATTGAATTAGTGACAAGTTTGAGTATGCGATTATTGTATTGCTCTTGTCCATACTTTTTTTTGTTGATTATTATCAATCATGTTAGAGAAAATGATCAAAAGCCCCCCTCCCCTTTCAATGTATAGCCGGATTCCCAACTACACACTCATATTTACAGGGGTCCTATCACCCCCTAAATTTTGTAAAACTGAAATTGCTACCTCCTTGAATGTTTAGCTGACAAAGTGAGTGTATCTCACTCTCTTTGAGAGAGTGAGCACAAAATTTAATATTAAAACTTTATTTTTAATAGAGAAAAGACATAATATTACCATTGAAGTTGTTTCGAATTTTTAAAAAGACACTTTAACTTTGATAACTTCCTATTACCCGACAAAAGTATTGAATATTTTTTATAAAAGGACCATTTTAAACCATTTTCTCATTATGTTTGAGAACATGCACATGATGCGCGTGAAGATCTCTTTTAATGCCAAAACCAAATTAAAAACTGTCACATCTAAATTATTTTCTTTATTAATTATTTATTTCATTCCAATCCATCTTCTTCCCTAACGAAAGAGTCAAGTACTCTATTAGAACTGATGAAATCAACTCGATAAGGTATGAATTAAATTTAATTTCAATCCAAAAAGCTAGTTTGAAGTTTTCCGAGGTTTCATTTCTTCTTAATTTCATTTATTTTTGAAAATTCATAAATCAAACCAAACTCTGATTAGTTGTTTTTTCGGGAGGATCAACATCGACCTGGGACTTGCCAACTTCTGAACTTTTATCGGCAGCGTCATCGTCAGGGTCGCAAGATGTTTCCAAGACTTGTCCTTGGAAACTTACGTTTTATCAAGCCATGGTTTGACAACAAACCCAATCGCCAGCCACTCAAAAGACATGGCTCTGAATACCATTACTATCGATTTCAACGAATTGTTCTTCCTCATTGAAACCACAAGCAAATTTTCTGATATACATGCCGATGAGGGTTTAATTTGCAGCTGAATCAATATGCTATTTTTACTATTCTAACACGTATTGTTCAGTTCATTCTGTACTCCACTAGTTTTCCAAGAAATTTGATCAACAAAGATCAAAATTGTAAGAGATGATTTTCAACAATGCTTATAATTGAAGAAAATGATGAGAGAAACTAAGAAATGAACAATAGAGAACAAGAGTTTTCTTTTTTGAAACGATTTTGGTCGGGTCGGGTTTGAAGAAATTA